ATGTTGTATGTAATACTGAACATGCAGTTTTTTTTTTTTTTTTCTTTTCTTGTAATGTCAAAGTTGGGCTCTCACTCATAAGTGCAAAGATCATATCTGATTTTCTTTGCGTTTGTTTAGTAAACGATAGTGATAATTTTGCACTTGTCTTTTCGGGTCCAGTAACATTAACTTATGTTTAAGAGCATCCTTTTTCTCCTGAGTAACAGTTTAAATCCAGCATTTTACAAAATTATTCAAAAAAAAATGATAGTGATAATTTCTTATCCAAATTATAAAAATAAATTAAAATTGAGAATGTTTCATAAAAATTTAAAAATAGTTAAGTTCTAATATTCAATTTTTCTTTTATATTAGAATAGGGTAATTAAGATGATATTTATTTTTTTAAAAAAATAAAGAGAATGCAATTACTCATTTATCTCACGTGAAATAATTACTATTTATAATGATATATCTCTACAAAAAAACACAATTTTATAAAAATACTCTTTGGCGAGCCCATAGTGCCTATCTTTTGACTGTATATATAAAAGGTAAGGTCTAAATTGCTTTAAATTTCATTTTACTTTACTATTTGTTTATAATGAGTAAACCTTTATAAATTCCTTTAAATTCTTATTCTTTTCTCTTTTTTTGTTAGGATGTTAACATTACAAACTACTCAACAAGTTATATAAAAAAATAAGTTTAATTTTAACAATTAATCAATTAAATTAAAACACATAACATTTTTTGGTATTAATCCTCAAGTAGTGTCTAACACCCTATAAAAAAAGAAACTTTTTCAACCCTTATTTTTCTATTTATAAGAATTCAAACCCAATATTTTATTTAAGGAAATCAAACTCCTTTCATTCATAACATTAGTCATTAATATTAAAGCACATAACATTAATACTATAATTAATATCAAAATTTTTTAATATAAATTAATAATTAAAAATATATTAATTATATTTTTAACCTATATTTAAGACACAAATCAAACAATTCTTTAATTATTTCTAGCTTATTAATTTTTTAGATTTTCTATCTTGTACCATTAGGGACATATATAAATGTACAATAAATGCATCTTTTTATAATTAATGTATATAAAAAATAATAAAAATTAATTTAAATTTAATTAATTGATTAATTAAAATTATTCATATGATATAATAATAAAATAAAAATTAATTTTTATTATTTTTATATAAATTAATTATAAAAAATATGTTTATTACATTTTAAAAATACAAATTAAACAAATCATTAATTTTTAAAACTTACTTTAGTTTTATAACTTAACTTTAAAAATTAATTATTTTGGTACATACTTTAAAAATTAATTATTTTACCCTTCTTTGAATGGATCTCGAAATTCTCGATCACATTGGTGCAATGCAAATGCAAGGGCGTCATATTATTATATATAGGTTAAAGTATCATTTTGGTCCCTCAACTTTTCACTTTGATATTAAAATTATTCTTCAACTTTAAAAAGTACCAAAATTATCCTTAAACTTTCATTTTCGGTACCGAAACGATCCTTTCGTCAGTTAAATGCATATGTGGCACATTAAGTTACTAAAAACTTATATTTTTTTTTAAAAAAATATTGACGTGGAAAAGAAAACATATGTAAGTTGATGAGGTGGCACTTTTTTTTTTTGTTTACATGACATTTTTAATTTTAACAAATAAATAAGAGATTGATTATTATTAATTAATTAAATTCATTTCCAAAATTTCCAAAATTAACCTTCTTGTTCACTCTTCCCCTCTGTCTCTCTCTCGTCTTGGGTGATCATTCCTTTTCCATCTCCTCCAACATTTCTTCCCATTCCATTTTTCCATTTCACCATTTTGGGGTTTTTTTTTTTACAAAGATTAAGCGAATTTGGGTGTGCACCAATGTTGGATTTTGAGAAAACCTAGATCTCTCTCTTCTCCTTTCGTCTTCTTTCTCCAGATTTGGGTTTGATGGTTTTCTCATCCTTTTCCTCTATTTCATCATGTTCCACAACAAGTTCAACAATTATCCTGCCAAGAGAGATATCATTACGTTGAATAGGCAATCGTCGATGTATTTTGTTGTGCGGTGAAAGCAAAAGAGCAACTCTCCGTTGACGTATAGTTTGCCTCCGGCCATGGACTCGACTGATCCTTCTGTATCCCCTTTGACTACTACCTCTTCTCTTTCTTTTTCTTATATGTGATTTTTGATTATTTGTGTTGAGTCTTGAGGTTTGATTCTAATGTTTGAGCATTTTGTTTTTATTTGTGTTAAGTGGATCTACATAGCTTTTCTTCTTCTTCAAATTGGGGTTGTTCTTGCTCATTGGTTTGCTTCGGCTAGTAATGGGTGTCTAATTTTGGGGTTTGGGGCAAGAAATTAGAAGTGGGTTTTTGAGAAGAACAGCCATAAAGGTTAATCAATTGCAACATGGATGGAAATCTAGAGAGTATAGCTCCCTGTTTCTTCTCCAACTCCGGTGTCTGTTGAAAAAGCGAAATGGTAATCCACATCCAGATGGGGAGATTTCTAGTTAAAAGCAGTAATTGATTCTTGAGATCTATAATTGTAAAAATTCACAAATTTAAACCTTTCAAGAGCAGAGGGAGATCTGGCAAGACGATTCAACGACTCTTGCTGCTTTTGTGGTTTAGTATTGTCGAATTTGTTGGTGCCAAAGTCAAAAGCTGCGAACGAATGACATACACGAGGGATAAGAACGAGGGCAACCCATAGACAAAAAATGACAGTGCATGTAAGCATTTCCATTAAAGAAACTGACAAGCAAGATATGGAATATGAATTTGGCCCATTTAGATTTTGATTGTTGGTTATAAACAAATTGTACTCCCAAATGTTAGTAACCTGCCACTGACTGTTACTGCCTTGATAATCTCTAACATTAAAATTTGGCTTCTTCCCTATGTCCACTGGTAGTCATTATAACAAGTGAAGATTTTGATGTTGTGTTAGAAACCCTTATGGTGATTTGTATTGCTTTTCTTATTATCACCAACTTCATCATATTGTTAATTTATGTGATGAAACCCA